TCTCTCATCACTGCTGCCGTCAAACCAGCTGCGCTGCTGCCCTTCCCTGTAAACAAACCGCAACACGAGAGCGATGCAGCGGGGAATGGAGTGGCATGCACCTTGCTTGAACATGCATGCACTTGTTCAGATGCATATGTAAATAAATAAATAAATGAATTAACGCCTAAAACAAGATTATTTTAAACAAGAGACCAAGTGGAATTAAGCAGAGAAAAGCATTGTGTTGCTGCTGTAGCAGCTGCAGCTACATGCCGCTGTCTTCTTCCCTCTCCACATACAGGTCAGCTGCAACAGCAGCTGATTTTTACCTGAGGTGTATACAGATATAGGGGCGAGCTTAGCCACGAATTTCAGCACTTGGCTCTTCGCGACGGAGGGATCTCCCAACAGAAGGACGTTTATGTCGCTGCAGGCACCCACATAACAGCCGGCAGAAGCGCCGCTCCAAACAAGTTCGTGTTTCAGCAGCAGCAGCAGCCACAGCAGCAGCTGCAGCATGCTCTGCTGCTGCTGTTGCTGCTGCTGCTGTTGCTGTCGCTGTAGTCGCTAGCAGTTCTGAGGCGGCAGACTCGAAATATCGACGAGCTGTATTGTGGTTTGTTGTCTGTCTTCGTCGTGTCGTACCCTCTGATGCGGGTGGTATCGTTGATAATTTTGGCTGTACCGCCAAAAAGAAGACAGGCGCATGCGCGCTTAACTTCAGTCATTCCATAGAGAGCAGGGGCAATAGACCTGAGCAGCAGAGATGAATAGCAAGCAGCCCCCAATACTGCAGGATAGGAATACAAATACCCACCCGCATGCGCCCGTCAACCAAACGAGATAGAGATAGAGCTCAACAGGTCCAAGGAACCACCAAAAAGATTCACAATAAATCCAAGTGAAGACGGAATAAAAGAGGATAAAGAAACAAATACCATGGGAGATCAACGTATCCGCATGCAAGAATATAAAGAAATGCAAAAGTAATAGAGAAGTTTGTCATTCGCCTGTTGCTGCTAAGAGTAACCGCACCTTGCAATTTTGTCGATGATGTTTGGTTCCTGGCTCAGCCGCTGGAAGAGCGATCGCTGCTCCAGTGAAGTCAAGGTGGAGAGAAGAGGGGAGAAGTTAATCTTTCGGATTCCCA